GGGTCATAAGGCAGTTCCATTTTTTATTTTTTAAGGAACCTTCATTCTGTTTTCCATAGTGGCTGCATTCCCAATCTGCATTCCCACCAACAGTGCACCAGGGTTCCCTTTTCTCCACATCCTCTCCACACTTGTTTGTTGATTTATTGATGATTGCCATTCTGACAGGCGGGAGGAGATCTCATTGTGGCTTTAATTTTCATTTCTCTGATGATTAGTGACTTGGAGCATCTTTTCATATGTCTATTGGCCATCTGTATGTCCTCTTTGGAGAGTGTCTATTCAAGTCCTGCAGCCATTTTTAACTTGCATTATTTGTGGGGGGTTTTTTGTGTGTGTTGAGTTGTATGAGTGCTTTATAAATTTTGGATATTAACCCTTTATCAGATATATCCCACATAAATATTCTTTAAATTAGTTTTTGGTTTATCCACCTAGTGTTCCTTTTTTTAATGTTAGCAAATACAAATGTATTTGTATTTCCCCCCACATCCTTTCCTTCCTCATTCTTCATTCTTTTTTAAAAAAAATATATATTTTTTTATTGATTTCAGAGAGGAAGGGAGAGGGAGAGAGAGATAGTAACATCAATGATGAGAGGGAATCATTGATTGGCTGCCTCCTGCACGTCCCCTACTGGGGATCAAGCCCGCAAACAGGGCATGTGCCCCTGACCAGAATCGAACAGGACCCTTCAGTCTGCAGGCTGACGCTCTGTCCACTGAGCCAAACCAGTTAGGGCTATTATTACCATTTTTTAAAGTGTGCTCGCTGTGCCTCTCTAAGCTACCAGGAAAGAGTTCAAAACAATTTGGGATGAAGCTCGGGCTTCGCCATGTGCCAGCCTCTGGATGACCTCCGTTCCGACGTTGCTCGGATGAAGGGGGGACTTGCATCTCACTGGTGTTCTGCACCGGAGACTCGCTCCCTTTGGTGCCCACTCCATCCCCTCCCAGACTTTGCGAGAAGCTCGGAAATCTCAGTTGCCGCTTCTAGTTCCTGAGCGCGGTTGCTCACCCGCCCGCTCGGGGTTTCGGGCTCCGCAGCTCGGCTGCTCCCGGGCCCTAGAGCCTCCCCTTCCGCGCACAGCAGCATTGGGGGCGGGAGCGCCGCCTTCTCTCCTGCGCGCTCCCGCCCTCCTCCCCGCCCCAAGCCCTCTCCAGCCTCAGCCGTGCGGCTCCGGCTCCGCACTGCAGATGCCTGCTGGCCGCCTGGCGCTCGTCGGCTCCGGCGGTGCCCCGCAGGTCCCCTCCAGCCCCGAGCACTGGCGGCACTCACGCTATTCCCGAGGGACCCTCGACTGAGCAGACTCGGAGCCTCCCGAGAAGCCTCTGCGCTGGTGGCGGGGCAGGCGGGTACCTAGGTGGACTGTGGCTGCACCGGAGCCCGGGACGCTCCTGGATGCGGCAGGACAAACTGCCCGGCTCCCTGAGGCGCGGAGGGAGATGCCTGAAGCGGCAGGGCGGCGGCGGCGGTGGCGGCGTGGGCACCATCCTGAGCAATGTGCTCAAGAAGCGCAGCTGCATCTCCCGGACCGCGCCCCGGCTGCTCTGCACGCTGGAGCCGGGTGAGGACCCCGGGCTGCAGAGGGGGCACCGGACACTAGCGCGGCGCCCCGGGAGCTGGTGCTGCTCACGCCTCTGCCTCAGCTGGGCTCTGCCTAGGCCGGGGAGCGCCCGCGGGCCACCGAGTGCGGGGTACCGCGGCTTGGCGCAGGCGGGGTTGGGTCAACCTGGGAGGGGAGATCGAAGAGCAAGCAGGGCCTGGGCGGAGGCAGCGGCCTCCCAAGGCGCGGAGGACCCGCAGCTTCGCTCGCAGCCCGAGGGCCCCCACTCCCGCGGCCTGTGCGTGGTCTGGTCCTGCCTGTGCCCCGAGCTGGGCAAGTGCTGGCGCCTGCCCGGGCTGCCTGAGGCCGCGCTACCAATTGTGCGCCAGGCTCATTTGAAAGAGGTGGAGAAAAGCACCGGTTTGATACTTCGGGTCTGAGGGGAAGGCAGTGGATTCGAAGGGAAAATCGGCGGGGTTGGGGATGGGCGGTGAGGGGAGGAATTTGCTGAGGGTCCCGCGGCGTGAGTGTGGGGTCAGCTCGCCTGGAGCCTCGGGTGTGTGTGTGTGTGTCCGGGTTCGGAGCCGGCAGGAAACACTTCTGCAGCCTGGAGATCCCTTCTTACAGATCAAGTCTGGGAGCGCACCTGACTGTGCCAGGCTGGGCCCTTTTTGCTGTCAGCCTGTGCTTACACATCCCTGCTTCTCCAGGCTGCATAACTCGGCGCCTGCTCCACCCTCCGGCTTCCCTCCCTGGGGCTCATGAGCCCGGCCCTGGCGCGGGAGCCTGGGCTCAGAGCTTTCTGGCAAGGGTGGCCGCAGAGGGAGCCAGTTGCGCTAGCCCGGCACTTGGCGCTCTCCTGCCCCTTGAGGGGCACCAGCTGGGTTCCAGGCGGGTTCGACCTCCCCCAGCCCCTGCCTCCCAACGCCTTCGGAGACCTGCTAGCCTGAGGCTGCAGAGGCGAATCTGCCGAGGCACTGAGCCCCCAAAGGGTGGAAAGCGTGGCTGCCTTTCCGAACCTCGTGGTTCCTTTGTTTTTCTCCCCAAGGAAGTGTCTAGTTACAGAGACTGTACTGTTTATTCACCGTCTTACTTTACGCTTAAAAAAAAAAAAAAAATCTCCTTCCCACATTGGAAGTGTTTTGTGTTTCTGAACCCAGAACAGCTGTGATGATCAGATGAAACATAAACCTTCCCCCCCCCCCCCCCCCCCCCGCTTCATTCAGTTAGACGAGTCGGTGAGAATGACCTGATTTCAGCTTTTGCAGACAGGCAGCAAAAGATCAATTCTAGTTCAAGCCTGTGACTCATTTCTGACCAGGAGAAAATAGTTGTGGTTTTGACTGACTAACGCAGCTGGGTTTCAGCGCCGCCGGGCACTCGGCAGGACTCTCGGCAGGTGCTCCGAACTAGTCCTGGGAACATATTGGGGACTACATCCAGGGAATCCGGGCTTTTAGGTCCATAGAAATCATTCCGTGCGGACCGAACTTCCTGGTCTTTGTTACACTAAAGCAAACGTCATGATTAGACCTTCTCCATTCAGCACCCAGGGTCTGGACAGCAGCCTCACCGCCGGGTGTGTTTCTTCTAGCCTTCAATCCTGCGCCGGAGCCGCAGGCACTCTTGTGGCCATTGCATCATTGCTTGGCACTGAGGCCTGAGCTTCATTTAAACCAGCTCACAGAGATGAGAATCTGTGGGGGTACTGGATATATAGTGGGGGAAGAAAATGCTATCTACCTAGACAGAGTATGGTTTTGAACCCGAAGCTTTGAAAAGAAATATATTGGGCTTCTCTACCACAGCTTGACTTTAGAAATTGAGATCCCTCTCATGTATTCACAGCCTTCTTCCAGGACTCCACGAAGTGCATCTGCATGCTCTCCTGGGCTTGGGCAAGTCAGACACATTTCTTTCCAGCTTCTTGACTCCATATATACTAGCATGTTTTTAAAAAGACTGGTCTACTTTATTATTATAATTTTGCAAATTCTGAAGATTGTTCTTACCCGCGTACAAGCCCTACGTAGTTGTGGAGAGGTTTTCAGTAAAAACCTAATCTGCTATCAACATCTTAGAAGCAAACATTTCATCATAAATGACAATCATTTAAAACTGAATGCTGTGGCTAATGTTTGGTATATCTTCATCCTTGAACTTTCAAGTCATATCTTTTAAAAAGTGACTTAAAATGTAATTTCATTGATTTTGAAATTGTAGGAAAAGAAAATACAGCATTTTTAGATTTTATTATACTATTTTTTTTAAAACACAACTTAAGTAGGAATAAAAATTGTCATTTAATTTTACCTCAGTAACGACAGCACATATGCTTCTAACATGGAATTCTGAATTAAAGGAAGCCCAATATACATATCAAACATATAGTCTTTATGTATTCTCCTATTTGTGTACTTCAATTCCATAGATTTGGGATTTGGAACAGAGAAGTTCCAAAATAAAGTTAAAACTTTGGAACTTTATCTTAAGTTGTAGGTAACTTATCATTAGAGTTCAATTATATTTTTAGCTTGTAGTCTATAACTAAACATACAAACTTTTTTTCTCCAATAGCTAAGTTTATTAAGACAGAATTTAAAAACAGGAAATCTCCAATAGGACTACTAAGGATTCCATAAGTGGGAGGGCAGTGACATTATTTTTATAACTTTTGATATTCCACTGACATTTCCCTAATAGACATAATCCACTCAAATGCGCTAGAAAACAAATTCTGTAAGTAGAGAATTCTCTTCCTAAGTTTTATAAATATTAATGATATAGTGCTAGGTGATTTACAGTTAATCATCACAACTATCTATTGAGATAGGTATTATTTATCCTAATTTTTAAAGATAAAGAATTGAGACTGCCCTAGCCAGTTTGGCTCAGTGGATAGAGCATTGGCCTGTGGACCAAAGGGTCCCAGGTTCGATTCTGGTCAAGGGCACATATCTTGGTTGCAGGCTCCTCCCCACCCTGGGCCCTTATTGGAGCGTGTGCAGGAAGCAACCAGTTGATGTGTTTCTCTCACATCGATGTTTCTCTCTGTCTTTCCCTCTCTCTTCCACTCTCTAAAAATCAATGGAAAAATATCCTTGGGTGAGGATTAAAAAAAGGAAAAAAGAAATGAGACTGAGGCAGGTTAAATTATTTATTTGACTCTAGAAACCAAAGTTGAATGGAGGTCTAACTCCAAGCCTCTGATTTTTTTTTTTTATATGTATTTGTTTTTTGGTTTGGCACTACTCTAGACAGCTGTGGAAACCAGCATCTTATGGGAAAAGCTCCATTCTATTGCCATAGGATATTTTTTTCTATAGTAACAACCAGTATTCTTTTTCTTTAACAAAATTGACTAAAAATTAGTAAAAGTTTAAAAAACTTCATGATGGTTCAGTTAATGTAACTTATTTTCTCCCAAAATAACAGTTATGTGTTTTTCTTTTAGGAGTTGACACAAAGTTGAAGTTCACTCTTGAGCCGTCTTTAGGTCAAAATGGTTTTCAGCAGGTAACTTTATTTTTGGTTTTGATAATACTCTTCTTTTGGGGTATCTACAGGGTATAATATACTGAGATACATTCTCAAAATGGGAAAACTTTGACAAGCATAAGAAGACAAATCATTTTTAAAAATACAGATGATGCTTGGGTTTATACTTACCATGAAAATTTTTGTACTTTCTGTTAATGGTGCCAAGTGTGAAAAAAATTTACAAAACCAAACATCTGTTATTCTGAATCCATAATACATGTTTTGGTTTCTGAACTACTGCTTCCCAATTATTTTTCGTGGATTGCAAATGGATCACAGGTGTGTTAGGGTGCCAAGGTGGGGCTTGGGGCAGGCATAGTCCTCACACCAGTCATATCTGGCTGAAAGAAGTTGACTGTTACCCAGTGTACTGTGCAGAGTTTATGCTCTACAGATGTCAGGATGAAAAAAAGATTGAAAAGTGCTTACCCAGGTCAGTAGTAGCATTTTGCCAATATTTCTTCTTTGTTCCTAGTGGTATGATGCTCTCAAGGCAGTTGCCAGACTATCCACAGGAATACCGAAAGAATGGAGGAGAAAGGTAAGGAGGATTTGTAGGGCTGAAATACAAAAGGGCCATCACTCTGTCCCTCTTTAAATCTCTGGAATGTAAAAAAGGATATTCTAAGTTTAGTAATTTGAAACATGTCCCCTTTCATTATTTATTCATTCAATATTTATTGATTATCTATTCTGCACCAGGTACTGTCCTAGGTACTGGGGATACAGCAGTGGAAAGAAAAACCAGACCAAAACGTTTGTACTTATGGAGCTTACAGTGAATAAAATATATAAAGTATATCAGATGGTGATAAGTGCCATGGATAAAAATAAAGCAGAAAAATAAGCGAAACTGTGGGAAATGGCGATAAGGAGTTGGAATTCTAAACAGCAAAGTGACAGTTAAATGGGGCCTTGCAGGAGGTGAGCAGTGGGCCATGCAGCTACCCTGGGGGAAGAGTATGCCAGAAAACACTCAAGTGGGAGCATTTCAGGAATATACAAGCAAAAGCAAGAGGATGGAGTGGCTGAAGCACGGTGAAAAGGGGGAAAGCACTAGGAGAGAGGGTCATAGAGGTAGTGTGATGGGGTTAGGAGGATGGCAGATCATGTAAGACCTTATAGGCCATAGTAGGACTTTGCTGGGTGTGAGATGGGAAGCATTGGGTAGTTTTGAGCAGGGGAATTACATGATACAACTTATATTTTAAATGGACCACTTTGGCTACTAACTTGAGAATATGAGGGACAAGGACAGAAGTGGGAGACTAGTAGAGGCTTGTAATAATTTAGGCAAGAGATGGAGAAGGGGTCTGATTCTAGATATATTTTCAAGGCTGAGTTGACATGAATTCCTATTAGATTGAATATGAGGTAATAGGATGTCAACGATGACTTCACGATTTTGACCTGAGCTACTGAAAGGGGAGACTTACTATTTACTTAGATGGGAGGAGCAGATGTGTGTGTTCATATGTGTGCATGTGTAGTTGAGGTGGTGATGGGTTAGATGATCGGCTTAGTATCTATTAAGGTTAAGATGCCTATTAGATATCTATGTTGAAGGTGTCAAGTGGGCATTTGGACATATGATTCTGATGCTTAGGAGAGAAGTCTGAGTGGAGATATTAATCAGTGATATTCCTGCTAACTATGTTCAGATACCAAAACTTGAAATGCTCTCTTACTATATCAGTTTATAGACCTAGTCTAATTCTGCTAGAATTTGAATATCAGGGGTTCCTCAAAATATACATTAAAAATGACCTTAAGAAATACATCTTTCAGCCCTAGCCGGTTTGGCTCAGTGGATAGAGCCAAGTCCTGGGACTCAAGGGTCCCAGGTTCGATTCCGGTCAAGGGCATGTACCTTGGTTGTGGGCACATACCCAGTGGGGAGTGTGCAGGAGGCAGCTGATTGATGTTTCTCTCTCGTTGATGCTTCTAACTCTCTGTCCCTCTCCCTTCCTCTCTGTAAAAAATCAATAAAATATATTTAAAAAAAAGAAATACATCTTTCAGAAACAGCTTTTCAGGATAATGTGTAAAAATATCCATTGACTCTAAAAACAGTTAGAAGTTATTCATTATGGGAGCTCATCTGTCGTATGTGTGTGTGTGTGAGTGTGTGTGTGTGTATGTGTGTGGGAAGAAAGAGAGAGAGAGAGAGAGAGAGAGAGAGAGAGAGAGAGAGGATTTAAAAGCAGAGACCACCTCATGGTGAGAAAAGGCCCATTCTCCATGAAGGACCAGGTGGATATTGCTCAAGCATAGACAGCAGTTCAGAGCCAAGTATAACAAGCTTGTAACATAATATAGCTAATTCAATGAACTGAAGTAAAACTTGAAAAAAAATGTTTTAACAGTATTCCTAATGTTAGGACCATTGCTTGATACATAGTGGAACTCAACAAATATTAATTGAAATTTCGAACACATGAAAGGTCCTAATTGATGCAGTTCAGTAAAATTCACATCTCAGGGAGGCTCTTTTGGATTTCTGCATGTGGGCTGTTTCTGGTCTAGGAAGTTCCCATTCTCTTGTTGGATGCAATCACTAGTCCTAGTAAAGGTGAAATTATGCATTTGACTTTAGCATTCTTCTTTATTCATATTTTAGGTTTGGTTGACCTTGGCAGATCATTATTTGCACAGCATAGCCATTGACTGGGACAAAACCTTGCGCTTCACTTTCAATGAAAGGAGTAATCCGGATGATGACTCAATGGGAATTCAGATAGTCAAGGTAATGCCCCTGAGTGTGGCCTGTTGTCCTAACTTAGAAGGAAGATTCCAAGAGCCAGACCTTTCCTGGATCGAGCATCAAGCCTTATGGTCTGAAAGTCTGTATATTTTCTGTTTCTTCTTTAGTTAATAGCTTTTTTAATGAAGAATTTTGACTGTATACATTGTCTTCAAAAGTTTGTGTGTTGCCAGTAAGAATAAAATGTTTCCATTCATATTCAGCTTATTTGTTCACATAAGAGATGAATTCTTTTTCTTTTCTTTCTTTTTTTTTTTTTTTTTTTTTTTTTTAGCATTGGTCAGTGCTGTTAACTGGATTTTCACATAAAAGTAACTAAGAAATTTAAAGTTAAGGATAATCCTGTTATAATAATTGGGCTCTTATTAGGGTCTTTGATAATTTCTTAACTGACAATTCATGAATATAATTAGATTGACTGGTGGGTCAATCTAATGACTGGTGGGTCAGTCTAATTAAACTAGCTGGTCAAGGGTCCAGGCCAGCCCTGAAGTCAGCACTGGTTTGCCTACCTGGATCATTACAGTTGGTTAGAACCTGGTGCCAAAAGCAAACGCTGCTGATTCGATTTGATCTCACTATTATTCTCTTACATAAGCCTGTAGAACGTCGCTTTTAATTTTATATGAGTACATCACAGTGTGACACTAGGCTGAGGTTTTAAAAGGAAACTTGTTTCATCTAAATTTTGGTCACCACAAGATGGCTAATGTTTCGGCAGATTTGAAGATTTTTTTTTTTTTTTTCCTGAGAAAGTACTAACTAAAAGGAGCCCCTTTCTGATCTAATTTGGTCTGTTTCAGACAAATCCTAAAAATATATTATGGAATTTTATATGGTATGCTTGAAAAGCTTTTACATTTTAACATTTCAGCTGTTTATTTGGAATTTCAGAATGTGTTTCTCACAGATGAAGTATTGTATATTTTAAATATTTTCTTTCTGTTTAAATTGCAAATTAAGGCAATGCACATTTTATAATGATCACATTATTAAGAAGGTCTTTTATTTTATTTTTGAAGTGAATACTATGTCAGTAAAATGACTTCAGCTCCTGAAAATCATAGTCTCTGCCTGGTAATACAATTATGGATATTGCCCTGATCAAATGTTAAATTTTTGTCTGTTTTACACAAATTTATAAAACAGTGTGGACAGAATAATTTTTCTGTTTTAGACAGAATGATTTTTCTGTCCCTCTACAATCCAGGTCGCATTTTTTGCTATTTTGGTTTTGCTCCTTAATACTATTTGGAGTTTTGATAGCTAAATAAACTTTATATCCTTTTCTGTAAGAAGTAATGTTGGCATGTATCATACATATGTTGAAATGACTTGTTTTATCTGAGATATATTATTAAATAAACTGTCAACTTATATGAAATTTTGTTAATTCTAAGTCCCTCTTTGTGTTAATTCTGGAAACACTTTAAGTAGAAAATTTGCCTGACTGCAATTCCTCTTAAAATGTCTAGGCATATTAGAAAACATTAGGAAAAAAAGGAAAGGAATTTCTTTTGACCCATGTCGCGTATACAATTTTAAAAAACTACAGTCCATGTTGATAATCTACTTAATGCTGAGGCAAAGAAATAACTACCGTTTTTGTTTTTGTTTTTTTGTTTTTGAGAGAGAGTATAGTAAGTCACTTTAAAAAATTACTGTTTTCCTCTTATTTTAGGATCTTCACCGCACAGGCTGCAGTTCTTACTGTGGCCAGGAGGCTGAGCAAGACAGGGTTGTGTTGAAGCGGGTCCTGTTGGCCTATGCCCGATGGAACAAGAATGTTGGGTACTGCCAAGGCTTTAACATCCTGGCTGCACTAATTCTGGAAGTGGTGGAAGGCAATGAAGGGGATGCTCTGAAAGTGAGTATCAGGCTCTGAAGAAGGCAACTGAAATTCTTCAGAGAGTTAAATATTGGAACTATAATTTTTCTTCCCTGATGCCCACTTCCTTCGGAGGTGTTTGCCATGCCTTCGTAATTACCCGTGATACCGTTTCCCCCAGGTGAAAGCCAGGTCAAGTGACAGACTCATGTAGCTACCAGATGTGAAGAGGATGATTAGGTGTTTAGATTCACTTAGAAGACATCTATTTTTAAAGCAAGTAAGTTATTAATTATATTAGTACTTACTGTTGCATAACAAAGGAGCTGCTTAAAACAGCAAACTTGGTATTACCTCACTGTTTCTTTGAGTTAGGAATCTGGGCGTGGCTTAACTGGCTCAGAGTCACATGATTGTGGCATTCAAACTGTTGGCTGGGGTGTGGTCTCATCTGAAGGCCTGACTAGGTGGGAGCATGCACTTCCAAGTTCATTTAGGTGGTTGTTGGAAAGCTATAATTCCTCACAGGTCTTGGACTGAGGGCCTCAGTTCCTTGCTAGCTATTTATTGGTCAGAGCCCTTTTTTAGTTCCGCTTTGTGGGGCTCACCATTGTGCAACATTCTGGTTGGTATCCCTCAATGAGCAAGAGAGTGAAAGAGAGTGAGCAACACAGAAGAGATTAGGTTACAGATTTGAAGCCAGTATATCAGAAGTCACATTTCATCATTTTCCCCACATTCTGTTCATTAGGAGCCAGGCACTAGGTCCAGCCCATACTCCAGGGAAAGGGCTTATATAAGAGTGTGACTCTCAGGAGATGGGGAATCCTTAGGGTCATGGTAGAAACCGCCTACTCCACCAGTTATCCTAAATTCTGGTTGGATCTTATTAGATTGCTTTATTCTTGCATATCTGGGATGAGGTATGGAGGAGGTAGGCTGAGAGTGAATGTCTGTGATGGAAGCAGATTGCTTGGAGAAAGGTTATAGAAGCGAATTATCTTTTAATCTTTGATGCCCAGGGCCTTTATTAGTAAAAATAAATAAATTCTGAAAACACTTTGAGATGGGACACTAGCAGTTTAAGCATGTCGGTCTGAATGTGATTCAGTGAATCACCAGAAATAAGTCTTCAGGAGGAAGAAAGCATTTTACACTTGGAAGATGACCACTGCCTTACTTGCTTGGGGCTATATGGGGTTGCTTCTTCTTATCTGAATCCTCAGGCTGCTGTTGATTGCAGTGCTTTGTGATGGTTACTTCGTCTTTGTATTCAAGAGCACCTCCCCCCACTCCCATTCTTTGTTTGACGGTGGCAAACACCGTTGTGATATTCTCAACCAGGGACTAATTCTGATATGGAAAGATAAGCAAATTTCCTCCTGGTTTTATACACATCATGGAATTAATTATAAAGCCAGCCTGACACGATCTCATTCTGTGTTCACCCTCTCACTTTTTCCATTCATGTGTTTAAGGAAACAGCTTTGAAGCTACTTGTTCATCAAATAGGCAGGGGTGGACGGGGGAGGCAGTGACAAATCGAATACATGACTTTAAATCATTTTTTATTAAGAAGCAATTTTGTTTAAGTAGTCCATCAGCTTTAGTTATTTTTCCCCCCAGCTTTTACTTGTATGGGAACTGCTCTATTTAAAAGCTGAAATAAACAATTCAGGTTGGGGGTGGGGTGGGAAGGTTTGGGAAAGGGTTATAATGCCAATCAAATCATGAAAGGACTCAGTGATGGTACTTGAGAAAGTAAAAAGTCACATAAGAAGATGGGATTAAATAAAGCTCAGAAACTGAATATTTAAGAAAATGAACTTTGTGGGATGAAATGACATTATCATCATTTAGGAATCTGGTTAGGCATTTAATGTGCAGAGGAATGTTGGGTTTATGAAGAAATACTTCTGATGCAAAGGAAAATATTGGGTGTTGGTGTTTTTCCAACAGCTATTTTGGCCTCTGCGAGTTGTAATTAGTAGGGAAATATATAATTTATTAAATGGAGGCAAACCATTTTCCTTGCTTTTTTGCACTTAGTAACTTTTATTTTTGGTGAGGTGTCTGTTAAGGTTTTTGGGACATTTTTTAATCGAGTTTTTTTGTTTGTTTTTAAAGCTTGTTTTCTTATTATTGAGTTTTAAGAGTTCGTTGTGTATTTTGGACCACAGTCCTTTATCAGATGGATCTCTTGAAAGTATTTTCTCCCAGACTGTGGCTTGTCTTCTAATTCACTTTCACAGAGCAGAAGTTTTAAATTTTAATGTAGTCTAGCTTATTAGTATTTCTGCATAGATTATGCATTTGGTGTTGTGTTATATCTAAAAAGTCATTCCCATACCCAAGGTCATCTAGGCTATGCTATCTTCTAGGGATTTTATAGGATTGCATTTTACATTTAGGTCTATGAAACAACAGGTTTTGTGAAGGGTGTAAGGTTTGTGTCTAGATTCAGTTTGTTTTGCATTTGGATGGTCCCAGCACCATTTGTTGAAGAGACTATCTTTCCTTCCTCCCTTCCTTCCTTCCTTCCTTCCTTCCTTCCTTCCTTCCTTCCTTCCTTCCTTCCTTCCTTCCTTCCTTCGTCTCTCCCTCTCCCCCTCCCCCTTCTTCTTCTTCTTGATGCAATGTTTGGTCCTTGAAATACAGTAGTGGGTAGAGTGACATTGCTGACATAAGACATCAGACTTTGAGATGCTATGGGATAGAGAATTTCATTGTGTCACAGAATTATTATGAGAATTGGTAATTTTTTTGTTGTTTTCTTGTTTTTGTGTAATCTTGAGGCTCATAATTTCTTCATAAAAACTTAAATATTTTTCTCAGTCTTATATAACTTATCCTAGAGGAAAAGTGATCCTGTGCGCCCCCCTCCCTTACCATGGTATGCGAAGTCTGACCGGCCACTGTGCTCTGCGGGGAAACTCACGCCCCCCTCACCTGGCCTGGCACTCTGGGACCACCTCCCTCCACACGGATTGAATATACTCTTTTTATTGCTAAGTTCCTATTTTCAGAGTGATGGTACATTTACCTGGTAAATTCTGTCCCTATACGTATAGGACGGCTCTAGCAGCTCCCTGGGCCTTCCTAATCCTGGAATAAAGATCTGGGGAGAGGGGCAGTTATTCTTGAGAATATGTCTCTACCCCTATTGACTTAGTTAAAACTCTAACCTTAAAAGTAGAAATTATAAGCCAGGGATGAGGGAAAAATGGGCCATTGGCAGGTCTGGGAGATAATTTTTTGGGGAAATTAGGTTTTGCAAAATGATGAAAATCAAAATGTGAGACAGCTACCTTCCACCAACATATAGGGCCAGCTATGATTTTGTTCTCAATTTTGATTTTCTTGTGGTCTGGGGAATGAGCAGGTCTTCTAGCAGGGAGGGCATATGAAGAGCATGTGTGCTGACAGGGAAGGGATCAGAGATTAGAACGTGTGTGTTTTGCTGGGCCGTTCTAGTGGTTCTTGACTTCTTATAAAAGGTAATGCAAATAAAAAAAAGTCAGAATGAAAGTAGTAATTTGAAGAACGTATGTATGAGACACCCTTATGGAAGGAATCCAGATTTTAAAAGTCTCATTTGTTCAAACAAAACCTTGTTGCATTCTCCCAGGAAAGGAAAGTGGACAAAGAGCCCACATCAGTTATTCTGATAACCGAGGTTGATGGTAGGTGAATCCTGAGATGGGCTTCAAGGGGGTGTTTTGTGATGGGCCAGTCTTGGTTTTCGTAGGAAGGTTGGAAAGCTGCTGACTTCAAGGAGCCAGTGTTGGGATTCCTGCTGGCTGCTGCGGAAGCACGTGCTCCATCTCGTACTTCTCAGAGCCACCCATGGGTAGCCTCAGGTCTAGCAGCCCATGTAGAAACTGTAGACCATAGCAGTCTGCGGGTCTGAGCTGCTTTGAGAACTTACTTAGATAATGATGAATTATCCAGATAATTATGGCACATGCTCTTCACCCAGGGTGGAGTTGAGCCTCGAAGATCCAGAACATTTGGTACTGACACATTTAAATGACAGTGTGCTTTGGCTAACTACATTTGATCCATTTGAATATGGTTTTTTTAAATCTTTTTTTCTTCAGATTATGATTTACCTTATTGACAAGGTACTTCCCGAGAGCTATTTTGTCAATAATCTCCGGGCGTTGTCTGTGGATATGGCTGTCTTCAGAGACCTCCTAAGACTGAAGCTCCCTGAATTATCTGAGCACCTGGACACTCTTCAGAGAACTGCAAACAAGGAGAGTGGAGGTAGTGATGATTCAATGCTATTGTACCTTCGAAATTTTTTACTTTTCTGACCCCACCATACGTAGGAGCCTACACCTTGAATGGAAATACATCTTTTCAGGTATTTCTCTTGGTGAGAGTTTGAGGCAATGAAATAGATTTTTAGAGAATAGGAACAAAACAAAACAAACAAAAAACCAACAGAGGGCCACATACTGAACCTTTGAATGGTCATAGTTAAGAAGTTGGTCAGGAACCTCATATATCACCAGTACCAGACATTCTTGTCTTTTAGATGAAGAATGGGGTACATGTCTCGCCATCTAGTTAAACTTCTCTAAGCTGGCACCAAATCTATAGGCATCTTTAAAGATGAGCTGCAGGTACCATTTAGCACACGCTGTGATTTTTTTCCTGAAGCACTGAGGTTATGGAAGAGTGGACTACGTATTTTCATAAAGTTGTAGGAGAGAATTTGAGTTGAAATGCTTAATGTTACTTTTCTTGATTCATGCTAAGGGCATGCAGATTCACTTGAGATGAATGGGCCAGTTCTTGCTGGAGAAGGAGCTGCAGGTAGAACTTGAACCCTGACGGAAGGCGCTGGCTGAGTAAGGTGGCGATGGAGACCGCTCTGTTACAGCTCTGAGAGTCACCACCGTCCAGCAGGCACCCGGATGACCTAAGCTAGCGCTGTGGTTACACCCCTGCATGCACTTGCCTGGCTGTGCTCAGGAGACCAGAAAGAAGAGTCAGAGTGTATTGTGTTTCCTGTAAATGGTTGCCAGTTACTGGACACACATTTAAACCTAGGAAAATATTAAATGATTTAGAAGACCTAATCTGTCCTCAATTAAAATACACTGGAAATTTTAGTGACACCTGGGTGTCTCTAAGCATTTCCTTCTAAATCATTTGAATAATCTTCACATTTAATTTGGCCGTGCAGTATAATTATGCACCTGTGTGGATTTCATAAGACTCCTGGGTCGAACAACCTTAAGCTGTCCCATAGTCAGACACGCTGTACTGGGGTCCATGTTTTCCCCCTAGTGCTCTGCATTGGCCTGCAAGGGGTGAGTGACCTCAGATTCTAGTCTCTGGGAAGAGATGCTCCCTTTGTTCCTAGGTAAGAAGGAAGAAAATGAGGGCAGGAGAGCAGATCTCTTTTTGCTTATACTTGGGTAAATGCATATTCTGACTGTAATTAGGACGGAGAAGCAGTCCACATATCTAAATTTTACTTCATTAAAATGCATACTTATGCCATCACAGGAAATGAGAGGGAGCTCTGTGTTTTTTAGTGAATTTAGAAACTTCAAAGTGAGCCGGATCTCAGATATTTAAAACTGTGTAGTTTAGTTCAACATATTTTAAAATTTCATGTTGTTTAATCTCTAGATATTTGGAGGGGGGGGGGGGGAGGTTTCCAGCTATCTTTCTCTAATTGGTTTGTAGTTTAATACCATTGTGGTCTGAGAACTATGCATGCTCTAAGAAGTAGACAAGCAATTCCTAAGGAGCAATTTTACTTTTCTGAGCAGCATTTGAATAAAAGTGGGCTTTAGGATATTTTGGAAATCGGCATTTGCTTTTGAGGGACTAAAATCCTTTTTTTTTTTTTAATTTCATTTTTGGTGAGGAAAACATTTTCAGCATCCCATAATAGGCAGAACCAAATTAAATGTTAGGTTAAGATTTCTGAAGTACCATAAAGAATTTGTGAAGTTCATATTATTGAGATTTTTATTAAACACACCTGTGTCCGTCTAGAAAATGGAAGGAAAAAAGAGGAAAGAACCATAATTTAGCCCCGTAAACAAATCAGTCAGGAAAAGTAACATAGTTGGGTGGACTTGGGGGACTGGAAGAGGGTGCCTTTATATCTTGCAAACTGTCAATTCTGAAGAAATGGAGTGTTTGCTTTATTTCAGGTGGATACGAGCCCCCGCTCACGAATGTCTTCACGATGCAGTGGTTCCTGACTCTCTTCGCCACGTGCCTCCCTAACCACACCGTTTTAAAGATTTGGGATTCTGTCTTTTTTGAAGGTTCGGAAATCATCCTAAGGGTGTCGCTGGCTATCTGGGCAAAGTTGGGAGAGTAAGTGACTTCCCCCTTCTCTTCTGTTCTGTGGTGTTGGGGGCCTTGAGCAGCTTTTGTGCTCTAACATGTAAAGTGTCGATAATTAAGTGTGAGGAAAAGAGGAAGTTGTGAACTTTGTGCAGCGGCTTTAGCCTTCTGGGATCTCAGCTGACACATTTTTTTTTTCTTTTAATCTTTACTGTTGAAAGTATTACATAGGCCCTCCTTTTCCCCCATTAACCTCTTCCCGCCCACTCCCGTCCTTCCCCACCCCAGGCCCTCACCACCCCATTGCCTGTGTCCGAGTTATGCATATATGCACACAAATTCTTTGGTTGATGGCTTCCCACTCACCCTCCCCTGCTGACACATTCTTGGTTGTTGGGGACAGATGGCATCTGCTTTAGAGAAGGGGGCAGGCTTGTTCAGGCCTGGAATTCTCCCCCTCCTCCTAGTGTGTGTGTCCAGCTGGTTTGCTCTTTGTCAGCATCTCTCTGGACACTAGTTTTGAAGAGGGAGACTTAGGTGCATGAGGAACTATGAGGTCTGGAAAGAAGTAGGTGGATTTGTTGGTTAATACCACAATTTAGATTATGTTGAATCTTTATTACTTATTGTGTCCAGCCTTTTAGGGCTGTGATGAAATTAAATGAGATAATAAATATAAGGTGTCTAGCAAGGTGCTTGGTACATAGTCAGTAGAATATAGGGAACTTCTTTCCTTTCATCAAGAATTAACACTGTGTGTGGGAATCTATTACTACCAAACACATCACTAAAGAGATTTTACTTACATTCTTTACTAGCAGCTGGGCTGAAAAAACTAGGGTGTTTTCACCCATCTTGACTATATTATGACTATTACATTAAAATTCTCCCTTTTTGGTAATGGAAGAAATACAGGTGTGGGCAAAAGTAGGTTTACAGTTGTAAGTACATGAAATAGTTTATTTTTGTATTATCATTAATTATTATATTATTTTCCGTATGAACAACAGTAAACCTACTTTTGCCAATCCCTGTATTAGAATGAAATTGTTATAGTTAACCTAAGATACAGAGGTAGTTTTTTTCTGTCAGAAGTTTGGTGTGTTTTTTTAAATCATCACCTGAGGATATTTTTCCATTGATGTTTAGAAAGAGTAGAAGAGAGAGGGAAAGGCAGAAGCATCGATGTGAGAGAAACACACCTATTGGTTGTCCCCTGCATGCGCTGAGCCTGCAACTGTGGTACATGCCCTTGACCGGAATGGAACCCGGGACCCTTCAGTCCCCAGGCCATCTATTCATTATCTGTAGGATTAGAATTTAGTCATATTGTCACTCCAAGGATGTCACATTGTTGAAAAGGTAATGGCTACACTTTTAAATCCAATATTCATTGAGTGCTTGCAATGGACAGGCATTGCTCTGAGCACTCTACATGTAAAACTAACTCCTTTGGTACTCACCATCATCCTATGAGTTAGGTCCTCTTATTATCCCCATTTTACAGATGTGAGAACTGAGGCACAGAGAAGTTAATTGCCCAAGGTCACCCAGTTAGAAGTGGAAGGGCCTGTTTTTGAACCCAGCTCCCTTGGCTCTGGAGTCTGTGATTTTTAACAATGTGAATATACTGATAATATATGGCTCCTATTTTTTTAAAAATATATTTTATTGATTTTTTTACAGAGAGGAAGGGAGAGGGCTAGAGAGTTAGAAACATAGATGAGAGAGAAACATCAATCAGCTGCCTCCTGCACACCCTCTACTGGGGATGTGCCTGCAACCAAGGTACATGCCCTTGACCAGAATCGAACCCAGAACCCTTCATTCCGCAGGCTGATGCTCTATCCACTGAGCCAAACCAGTTAGGGCTATGGTTCCTTTTGATGCAGTTCAGAGGATATATGAATCAGACTGGTAGAATTTTAAATTTTTCAGAGCCTTTGTTCATTATAATTCTACATGTTTTGAGTGTGCAACTTGTTAAGCAGAAGGAAAGGCAACCAGCATACATCAAGTGCCTATAGTGCCATCATTATGTTAGACCGTGTAAACACATGATCTCATTCATCCTGCCCGTAGCCCTGTGAAGTCGGTGGGACTTAAACCTGGATCTTTCTGACTCCAGTGCCTGTGCTGTTCCCCACAAACTGTCCGTTGGAAAAATCCTAAATAGCAGATAGGTAGTCTCCAGCTATGTGCGCCTGAGTAACATATGTGCCTCGTGTATGGTTATCCATGGGACCTCTCCCCTTGCTTCTGCAACTTGAATGCCTCCCTCTCACTCACACCAAGGGTACTTTTAGAATATGCAAGCTGTAGAGCATCAGCTCACCTTCCCTGGCATCTCTTTCCCGTGTCCTTTCTCCTCTGACCCTGCTGCTCTGGCTCGCTCCCTCGTTCCCTCATGCCTGGCCTGTCTTGGTGTGTCTTCCCTGGTTTCCCCATCACACCCACACTTGCCATGCCACCTCCAGGCTGACCTTGCCAAGGGCATGTCTGTTCCCACACTCCCTGTTCAGAGCCTTCCAGTGATCGTTGCCTGAAGGGGCTCAGCTGGCGGGTGAGGCCTTCGGTGTCCTTTGCCTGCAGCTCTCCCGCTGCAGCTCCCTGGCTCCGTTCTGGCCCTGGGGAGCCACTTGCAGATTCTTGGGTAGGGCCTGCAGCTGTCTCCTGCCTCCGTGCCAAAAATATACTTACTCTTCCTTGTCAACCGGGAGAATATTTTTCAAAATTCATCCTCAGCATTATTTCTCTTCCTCATCCTCCAGGGTAAAGGTAACCACTTTTTTTTATTGATGCCCACATGCTACTTTGTATTTTTGTAATAACACCTCAACAGTTCATCTCATTTATTTATTTACCTGATTGTGGCAGTGAGATTTGAACAGCACTCCAGAGCCTGAAGTTTTCCCAGCATCTTATTTTTGGGGGGATGGCTGTATGAAAATCCCCCAACATCAGGGTACATCATACTGTGTCTTGTGGTTGGTGGCCAATAGAGTCATCCTCCTACACAGAGGATGTCATGGTGGATAAAACAGATGCACCGTGCTCTTTGTTTCGGACCACTCCTTTTTTTCCCTCGAGAAGAAGGATTAACATGTACCCTGCCTCACAGGTTGCCAGGTAACAGCTTCTTTATATGTAGAAACAAATGTAAGAAGCAGGGTGCGATCTCCAGCTAGCAGCAGTGCCCTGAGAAGAACTGAAAAAATTCTGCCTGTGAAAGCATCCTGTGGACTGATGACATATACAGATAAAGTTCTAGTATTTCTCATCTTTTATTTCTACTGTGGTTTGGTTTTCAGTCTATCAGTGATATCACGGTTTGTAGATTAACAGCAACAGATTTCCTCCTGGGGATAATTGTTCTTCAGATCTAATTTCATGGTTATGATTTCTCATCAGTGGTGGGTATTCTGATGTGTAAAATGTGTCACATGGAAGCAGTAAAAGTGCCACCGGTAGGGCTGGGAGGCTGGGGAGCCATGTAAGAAAGATGGGAACTCATCCCATAATAAGTACCTCCAAGTTGCCGTGGGTATTTTTTATCTTTTCTCTGTGTATGGCAGGCTGTATAGGGAGTGTGTCCCAGTATTTTGAGTTTTGTTGATTGCTGATGTGATTGATTTGATGGTCAGAGGCCACATACCCTGTGGGACCTGATAGACAGCATGGGGGTCCAACACAATTCCTTGTCCTGTCCTTCTGCTTCTAGGCAGATAGAAAACTGTGAAACGGCAGATGAATTCTACAGCACCATGGGGCGCCTCACCCAGGAGATGCTAGAGTGTGATCTTCTAGAAAGCCACGAACTCATGCAGGTGAGTGGGCAGCTCCGCCCCGCCGTGGCCCGGGGACTCGGGCACCGTGGGAACAGGCGGTCCAGAGCAGTGGTCTTGGGAAAAGTATTTGGCCAGCCTTCAGATTTAATTTTTCAATTGACCAAGATACTATATATATAATTTGATAAGAATCTTAGCCATGTCACAAGAGGAAAAAAGAAATGAATGATGTTTATTGTGGCTTTCATTCAAACTTGTTGCTTAAAAATCACAAGGTGCAATACAAAAATAAATTTAAAAAACTGAAGAATAAAACCCCAAATCATCAGATGCTTATTCTCAATCTGATTCTTAGCCTTTTAAGGGGAGACTTGTGGGGGTGAGGTAATTATTTGGGGGGAGGCATTACTGAGGATAGGAGGGAGATCGTTGTAATCAGCACTTTGGTTTGTTTTGCCCACATTTTCAACTGATGTTATATGTGGGTCATAAATTTCAACATGAAAGACTTGAAGGGTTTTGTTATTTTGTGGCATGTTGCTCTATCCCAGTATCATATTTACCGAGTCACTCAGACAGAAAAGAGTGAGTGTCGGAAGGAGCAGAATTGTTGACACTCTCTCTTCCACTAGGTTCTGTAACATAACTTGATCTCCATTCTCCGATGCTTCTGACCTCTTTCCTCCCGGTTCTTCCTCTTGCCCACTGACCAACTGTAGGTCTTTCCAAGGTTGTCCTCGGGCCTTGGCTACTTCCCCCCCTCTCCTCTTTTTCTTGTTTTCAGCGTTTACTTTTATGTTGGGTTCCATGCCTGAGGTCAATTTTGGGGCCCAGCCAACAGGTTAGAAAACAAATACTCAAGCCCTGATTTAGGACATAAGACTCATGGAGCTTCCATTCCTTTGTTCCTGTCCCGGTACTGCAGCTCCTTTTTGGAATTCCTAATGTTTAGCAGACAGTTACTGATTTGTTGAGAATATTGACCACTTAATATAACTTCCCTGAACATTGATATTTTTTAGTTCAGTTTTTCTTTCCATTCTCATCTCTTTTCTTCCTTCCTGTCTGTCTCAGAGGAGGAAGTGTTCTGATACTGACATCTTTGCTTGATTCCAACTCTTCTCACATTGCCGTTGCTTCCTCACTCACTCTCTCGGAGGGAAGTACCTTTTACTGCGCTTCCCTTTGTGTGCCAGGTCCATGCCTGACATTTTCTTTTACATAATATTTTTTTTATTGATTTCAGAGAGGTAGGGAGAGAGAAAGAGAGAGAGATAGAGATAGAAACATCAATGAGGAAAGAGAATCATTGATCGGTTGCCTTCTGCATGCCCCACACTGGGGTCGAGCCCACAACCCGGGCATGTGCCCTGACTGGGAATCAAACTGTACCTCCTGATTCATAGGTCAACACTCAGTCACTGAGCCATGCTGGCTAGGCTACATCATTTTCTTTTAAGACATTCTTAGATGATGTCCCTCCTCCCAGATTCCCTCTGCTCTAATACAATCAGCATTTTGCTGCCAGAGTAATAGTCTAAACTTACTGCTTTGGCCATTTCACTGTTATTCACAAAACCTTCAGTGCTTCCGTGTTATTAACTATAGGAAATAAAATGCTCCAGCCTTGTTTCCAAGGTTCTAAGTTAACCTCTGCAAAGATTTATTGAACATCTGTACATGTCAGAAGTCTTCCTTGGCCCTGACCAGTGTGGCTCAGTTGGTTGGAGCATTGTTCCATACACCAAAAGGTCTGGGGTTGGATTCCCAGGGAGGGGACATACTCAGGTTATGGGTTCAAACCTGCATTGGGGTGTGTGCAGGAGGCAACTGATGTATCTTTCTCATATGGATGTTTCTCTGTTTCCCTCTCTCTTCCTCTCTCTCTAAAACCAGTAAAAATTTATCCTTAGGTGAGGATTAAAAAAAAAACTTCCTTGAATACTAATAGCAGTTGGTCAGACTCTGTGTGTGCATGTGTATGTGTGTGCATGCGTGTGCCTGTGCACATGGGTGCACACACATGCAAGTGTGTATATGTGTGTATGTGTTGGAGGCAGTGGTGCAGAGCAGAGAGGCTGTTCCTGGTGGAGGGGGGCAGGGTGAGAGGAAACCTCTATTGTGTGTGAAGGAAACTACCAGGGGTGTGGTATTCAGGGAAGGGTTATAGAAGACCTCAACCCTTGTTGAGGAGCTTGGCCTTGATCTTTTAGTTCGATGGTTGTGAAATGGAGTTCTTGAGCTTGCTGGAGTTCTAGGACTTCTATGGAGCCTTCAGAAAGGGAAGCACAACTGTGGAGCTGAAAGGTTTTAAGGAGAGGAGGGGAAGGGTCTGAGTTATTTCTTAGGTCGACTACATGGGTGGCTCTGTGAAGGGTGGACTTGACGGGTCATGTTTGATAACATGAGGCCTGTGAGGAGCAGTAAAGGGTAGAAACAAAAATGGAATAGAGACAATACTTAGAAGGTGAAGTTGATAGGACTTGGCCACAGAAACGATGTGGTCTGGTGAAGAAAGAAATGGAGGGGACAAGGGCAATCACACATTTCTGGCTTAGAAAGAGGAGGGCAGGAAGATGAGTTAGCTCTCCGAGAGGCTGCATGGAGGTGCACTTTGGCTGTCCCGTTACTCACCTGTCCAAAGGTATTCCCCACCCCTTCACAACCAGAACCTATCACACTGGTCATAGCTCTCTTAGTCCATGCTCATGCCAGTTGAGGGCTTGTGCTGCCCTCTCACACTATCTGTGAAAATATTAAACACCCATCTAGATCCTATCCAGTCTCCTTCCTCCCCACCCCCACACAGCCTCTGTACCTCGGCCCTCATTAATTATGCCTCCTCCGTACTCCTTCAGTATTTAACATTTCCAACAATTGATTAATTGCTATTACAGATTATTTGCTACTGTTTGGTATGTGTTCATCTTATTTCTCTAATGAGGTAGCAAGCTCCTTAATGCTAGGGGCGTCAGATTGCTCTGTATCTCCATGACATCTATCGAGTTCTGAGAATACACCTGGTTGCTCAGTGAATACACAGAATCACAGAACATTAGAACTCGAGGCAGTGGTTTTCAAAGTTGACTGTGTATAAGAAAGTTGACTGTGTTTAATGCATTAAAACTCAGGTGTTTGCTCCATGGGTGGTTCTGAGGCAGATGGCTTAAAAAAAATACTTAGAGAAACTCTGGCTTTAGAGAAGCTTAAAGATTAACCTAATTCTGCCACTTTACAGAGAAGAAGCTAAGACTTGGAGAGCCAGCATCTGCCAGTTTCTTAGGTTGTCTAGTGGCAGACCCAGGACTGGAACCCAAGGCCCTGACCCCTGGGCATCCTACATGCTTATACCTTATTTTAAAAATGTCTTTCTAAAACTGAAATCCTCCTTAGAAGAATAAGACAGCATTTTATTTTACTTAAAGCCCAAACATTGCCAGAATGAATGAGATATGTTGAGATCTACACCTGTCGTCATTGTCCTCTAGGAATTCCCAACCTGAGGGATTAGGAAAGAGGACCCTTCATTACCTCTTAAAGGGAATCCTAGAGGGGAAAATGTGGGCTGGGGCTTGATAGATTAGTTCCCCTTTTAGTAGCATTATTTTTTTTCCTGCCAAAGAAAACATCTGGGTGATGATAAACTGAGCTTAATTTTATACAACTTATGTTTTCATGTTTCTTATAAAAACATGTCAATAATGAAAAAGAAATAAGAATTTCTTTTCAGCAGTGCCTAAATATAAATGTCTATGGGAGTGTGTGTTGGTAGGTGGTTTTCCTTGGCATCGTAGAGTATTAAGGAGAGAAATGCTGACTATCATTTCAAGCCACTCTTTTTCAGTGTTTACTCGTTAAAAACAGTTAGGTCAATGGCTGGGACCCAATTATGGTGCACCTTCAGTCTGTCCGCAAACCTGAGATGGCTCCGGGTGAAACGTGGACCGTGTGTGAGGTCAGAGAGGAGACGAAAGGGTTCTCCCTGCTTGGTCTTCTCCATTTCTTCCAGCTCTAAGTGCCTGACACAAAGTACTGTTTTTCTCCCCTGTAAATCACATCACTTTCTTTTATTAGCAATGGCTATTTAAAAAAATTGAGAGTGTTAGAAAAGGAGATTGGGAGCCCTAGCCGGTTTGGCTCAGTGGATAGATAGAGCATCGGCCTGAGGACCAAAGGGTCCCAGGTTCAATTCTAGTCAAGGGCGCATACCTTGGTTGCCGGCTCCTCCCCTGCCCGGGCCCTGGTCAGGGCTAGTGCAGTAGGCAACCAATCGATGTGTTTCTATCACATTGATGTTTCTCTCTGTCTTTCCCCCTCTCTTCCACTCTCTCTAAAAATTAATGGAAAAATATCCTGGGGTAAAGATGAGAGAGAGAGAGAGAGAGAGAGGAGAGAGAGAGAGAGAGAGAAGAGAGAGAGAGAGAAGAGAGAGATTGGGGGAATGCCAATGACAAAGCATAGATAAATTTCAGAATGACTTTTGACAGAGTCTCTCATGAATTCTTTTAGGGCAATGTAAAGAAAAGTGAGTCAAATGTCACTATTAGAAGGGTTCGTAGGTGCTTGGAAAAACAGAAGCCAAAGTTCTTGTGGATAATAATTTACTGCTTCCTGCGGCAGCTCTCATGTGCCACAGGCGGGATCTGCCGTGGGATTGTTGGCTGTTTTCCCTCAGTGAAGGGGTGGAAATGACAAGAATGCGGATGCTTGTTCAATAGAAAGATGATGTTGATGAATTAGTGCTGTCAGAAATGGAAACCGTCTGCCGTGCAAAACAGTGCGGGCTGGGCAGTTCGGCAGCGCCTTTGTGGCCACCTGTGGAGCTCCTGGGAGGGAGGCAGCTCCTGCCTGGGAGGGAGGTGGAACGAAATTATGTTTGTTTCTCCTGACCCTCGGATTCTATGCGTCTCCCTTACTTGGGCTCTGAGACGATGAGTAAAATTTCTTTCTTGGAGTCGGTTGTAAATCCGTGACTTACAACGTTAGAAACCTGGAGCTACGCAGGTACCCTGAGCACTGGGGGGCTGTGCCAGGGAAGCTTATGTTCGTGGGATCAACATGCACCCCCACACATGAGACCCTCAAAGGACTGAGTGCATGTGTGCGAAGAAGGACGATACACTGTTTTTCAGGCACGCTGGTTTCGTCTTTGAAGGATTAACTAAAAGCAGATGATAGAGAAAGGAAGAGCAAAAATAGAAAATGAAAGCTCAGTGGAGCCAGTTTTCTTTTGGTCGAATGTCTTTGGTTGCGCGGTCTTGGAAGGAGCTGGCTCAGAACCCAGGCCATCTACCCCGAGACAGGACAGGACGAAGTAGGGGCAAAATGTATTGTCGATTTCTTTTTCTTTTTTTTTTTTTAAATATATTTTTATTGATTTCAGAGAGGAAGGGAAAGGGAGAAAGAGATAGAAACATCAATGATGAGAGAGAGTCATTGATCAGCTGCCTCCTGCATGCCCACACTAGGAATCGAGCCCACAACCTGGGCATGTGCCCTGACCGGGAATCAAACCATGACCTCCTGGTTCATAGGCCGATCCTCAACCACTGAGCCACACCAGCCGGGCTCCATTCCTTTCTTATAAATTTCCTTCATGAGGCTGGATAAAGAATTCTGATAACTTTTTCTAAAACTGGCAACAATAAAACACAGTGAACCTTCAGCTAATTTACCCCACTAATTGTCTTCAGTGAGACATTTTACCTCATTTGGAAGAAAATTTGAAATTTATAGCATTAATGAGTTCATCTTTTAAGCTTGAATCGAAACATCATGGGTTTCTTAAATACCTGAACCAAGTTTCTAAATTGTTAAGGAAGAAAGGCCCCGTGAGTGAGGGGCAGGCTGACTCTTGGTGCAGCGGTAGGACCACACTTGGTGTGTGGTGGTCAGAGGCTGGTGCTGCTTGACTGAGGCCCCCATGGAGGTGCCCTGTCCTGGACCTAAAGTTGGGGTGCTGAGGAGAGGATGTCCCTTCTCTCCATTTCCCTCAAAGGGTTTATGGAGCTAAGACAGGACCTAGAGCAAGGAAGAAAGGATTCTGTGTTGGCAATAAGGCAGCTTCTTGAGGGATGAGCTGTTGGCAGCCTTGGTGGGAGCACAGAATGTGCGAGGTCACTGTGACCATGTTATGAATGAAATGATAGGAAGTATTTCTGGCATACAGAAACGTATTACAAATAGTATTACAAAACTCACACCCATCACCCAACTTAAGAAATAAGCATTAGCAACACATTTGGACACCCTCATATGCTTCTCTCTGATTTCCCCTCCCCTCCTCACCCCACTTCTCCCCTTTCCTTTTAAAGGTAATCACAATCCCAGCTTTCACACCCTTCATTTTTCAGAGGAGGGAAACGAGGCCCAGAGAGGTTTGGAACTGGCCAATCTGAGACTAATGGGAACCACAAGGTACCTCCTGCTTCTCTCCATGGGGAGCAGCTCACTGTTAGTAAATTTGTACGGCGTCTCAGCCTTGTGGGTATAATCAAATGTGTAGTATATAGAATGGCTCAGAGATGACTCTTTGGTCCCTATGATCTGTGTAGCTTTGGACAATAGGCAACGGAGAATAGAGGGGAAGGGATTTTAGCCAACACTTACTTGTGTAGAATCTTTGGGTGGTACAGTAAGATGTAAGTGGATACCTTATATCTGTTTGGGAAAGGTCTGATGGACAATCTGTTTAGAATCAAATGGCGGTGGGCTATCCCAGTGGTGGCTCTGAGCTACAAAGTCAGACAGCAGCACAGTCAGGCCCCTTTCAGAGCCCTCCTTTCCTGCCCATGCAGATAGTGCACGTCTCCGCTCAGCCTTCAGAACAACTCTCCTGCTGAAATGAAAAATACCACTTTAAAATTTCCCCAGAAAATATCAGGATATTTAAAAAGCTTCCTGGGAGAAAGCTAGTGTGATTAAGATACATTTTCTGCCCTAGCCAGTTTGGCTCAGTGGATAGAGCGTCGGCTCGAGGACGGAAGGGTCCCAGGTTCTATTCCGGTCAACGGCACGCACCTTGGTTGCAGGCTTCTGGCTCTGGTTGGGGGCATGTGGGAAGCAACCAATCAATGTGTCTTTCTCACATCGATGTTTCCACGCTCTCTAAAAACCAATGGAAAAATATCCTTGGGTGAGGATTAAAAAAGAAAAAGATACATTTTCTGGTGAATAAGAACCTTAAGGATTGAATAAATGATATAATTAAAATTTTGGAGCAATTAAATTTTGATAAAATTAGGAAAGCAAATAAGATTATTTCCCTCCTGCTAATAGAATGGCATATAATTTTGAAATTCTGGAGGAAGCACAGGTGTTTTTCTCATTTTTATTTTTAGATTTTTTAACAGTCTGGGCTTTTACACTGTCAGTTAAAAAAAACCCCGAAACCAGCAATTTTCACTTGGACTTTATTCACAGGTATTTGAAAAGGTGTGTTTGGAGAAAGCACTCAGTCCATCACAAGATTGTCCACTTATTTTTATCCAGGCTGGCGTAATGTCTATAAAAATCATTAAACAGAGCTTAAAAAACAAGTACTAGATATGAAGCGCATCGATGGGTTCTTTATTAAAGAAGTAAGGGAGCTGCCCTGGTTGGGTAGCTCAGTTGGTTGGAGCATTGTCCTGTGCACCGAAAGGTTGCAGGTTCGATTCCCCATCAGGGCACATACCTAGGTTGTAGATTCAGTCCTCGGTCGGGGTGTGTACGGGAGGTAACCGATCATGTCTTTCTCCCTCTCCCTCTCCCTCTTCCTCTCCCTCTCCCTCTTCCTCTCCCTCTCCCTCCCCCTCCCCCTCCCCCCCCCCTCCCCCTCCCCTTCCCCTCCCCCCTCCCCCTCCCCCTCCCCTCCCCCCTCCCCCTCTCCCTTCCCCTCCCCCCCCTTTCTCTCTCTCTCTCTAAAACCATAAACATATTCTCAAGTGAGGATAAAAAGGTAAGGGAGCTGTGGCTTGCTGAATTCACCCACCCTCGAACTGAGCAGAAGGAAGTCAGACGGGGCGCCCCCATGGCTCACCCTTGCTCACCAGTTGGAATGCCTGGTTGCAGTCAGGTTGATTTGAAAACTCACCGTTGTGTTTATCAGTGTTCTTTTGTCTTTCTCTAAAGCGGATATTGAAGTAGGATCTTTCCACTCTCTCTGTAAGAGGCAGTTTTTACCTTTTCACACTCAAATCATAATGCCTTTCCAGGACTGATAGAGTTACTTAAGGGCTCCGTTTCAGGCACGGCATTTTTGCTTCTGGTTTTCAGACGGTTTACTCCATGGCTCCGTTCCCTTTCCCACAACTGGCAGAGTTGAGGGAGAAGTACACCTACAACATTACACCGTTCCCCGCTACAGTGAAACCCACCTCCGTGTCTGGGTAAGGTCTCTTTTTTCCCTTCTTGTTTTCGTGTTAGAAGACTAGATACTTTAACTGGTTATTGTAACTTAATGATTGTTAAGCCCTAGAAAGATATTCAAAGTAGTTTGGTTCTTAAAATCTGGATGTTTTTTAAGGTTTTGATGTAAATTCAAAAGAGTGATTTTTAAAACTGTTCTTTCCAAGGAAGACTAGAATATAAACTGAAGGGACCTGTAGCAACCCCACAACTTATTTAAAAATATCAAATATTAAAAAAAATCTCAATAATTAAAATAGTGTAGAACTGAAGCATGAAAAAACAGATGAGCTTATTTAAAATGCTATAAAGACCAGACATTGACAAATACACAGGAATACAGTATATGAAAACTTGGCATATCAAACAGTAGTGAAAAGAGGTATTATTTAGTAAATGGTGCTGGGCCAATGAGACCTACTCTGGAAGGAAATAAAGTTAAAGTTTTTCTTTACATCATACAGTAGGATACATTTCATATAGATGAGAGACTTAAATGGGAAAAAATGAAGTAATAACATTAGCAGAAGAAAATGTGGAAAAATGTCTTTAGTTCTTTGGAATTGGGAAGGCCTTAATAACAGCCTCAAAATAAAAAATAAAAAACAATAAAGGAAAAAAAAAACACTAAGTATTTACAAATAATATTCTGTATGACTAAAACCAAAACAGAACAAAATAGAACCCTCATAAGCAGACACAAAAATATTCATGGAAAAGTATTTGTAATTGATAGCTCTCATAAAGTTCCTAGAAATTAATATGGAATGACCACCCAACTGAAAAATGATGGAAGGATGGGAGTAGGTAGTTTACATAGAAGGCAGCATCAAGAGAAATGTAGCCTGTAACTAGATTGAGAGTCTGTTACTTTGCCTATCAGATTAACAAGAATTCAAAAGGCTGATGTGCACGCTCTTGACAAGGCCATGGGGACACAGGCACATTGCAGGTGAGAGGTTGCTTACTACAGGACTTGTGGCAGGCCATTGGGAAGTACTGTCCAAAATTTGTAATGGATTTTGACCCAGCAATTCTACCTCTATGAATTATCCCACAAATATATTTATACACATGCAAAACACAGGATGTATAAAGGTTACTTATTGCAGCATTGTTCATAATGGCATAATATTGAAACCACTCAAGTGTGCTTCATTAGCGCAGGGTTCCCTAACGTGCACCACATGCATACAATACAGTGCAGCTGTAAAAAGCGATGAGGAAGCTCTTTGTAAGAATATCGTGAGGTTTCTTAAGTGAATAAAAGCAAGGCGCAGAAGAATGTATATAGTATGCTAATATTTATGTAAAAAGAGGAGAAAAATAAGACTATCCTATATAATAAAAGCCCAGCAACAGAAATGGTGGAACGACCAGAGACCAGAAGGACAAGGCCCCTTGCCCTGGCTGGCCCCACACCCCAGGGAGTGGTTAGGGGCAATCAGGAAAGCAGGCAAATTGTTAGGGGCGATGAGGCAGGCAGGCAGAGGTGCTTAGGGGCAATGAGGCAGGCAGGCGAGTGGTTAGGGGTGATTAGGCAGGCAGGTGAGCAGTTAGGGGTGATCAGGCAGGCAGGGAGAGTGGTTAGGGGCAATCAGGCAAGCAGGCGAGCAGTTAGGAGCCAGCAGTCCCAGATTGCCAGTGGGATGTCCGACTGCCAGTTTAAGCATGACCCGCAGGGATCCCTGTGGGATCAGGCCTAAACCGGCACTCAGACATCCCCCGAAAGGTCCTGGATTGCAAGAGGGTGCAGGCTGGGCTAAGGGATACCTCTCCCCTCCCCCACCCCATGCATGAATTTTGTGCATCGAGCCTCTAGTATAGTCATATCTGCTTATCCATGCATAAAGAAACTAAAGGCTAAATAAGAAGCTAGTCACTGCATCACCTGTAGGAATTAGGTGGAACAGCTGGGCAGAAGTTGGGTAGGGATGGGAGACTTTTTATATATATATATACATTATATATCATTTAAACCATGTGACTGAATTATTTTTATTAAAAATGACACTATTTTCTTTGAATATTTTTTTTCTGTTATGTTTTCCAAGACGACATGGTAAGATCAGAGACAGTGATGAAGAGAATGACCCAGATGATGAAGATGCTATTGCTAATGCCGTGGGGTGTCTTGGACCTTTCAGTGGGCTCCTGGCACCTGAACTACAGAAGTACCAAAAACAAATTAAAGGTAAAAAAGGTGGCTCTCTATTTAGATTATCACAATGTGTTGGTTCACTATAGCAGGGGTACTGTTATTGTAACCTATAAATGCCTATTTATTTTCTGAACTGGTTACCCTTATTGAAGGTCTTTATTAAAAGTATCTTCTCTGGACCAGCTGTCGTGGCTCAGTGGTTGAGTGTTGACCTATGAACCAGGAGGTCTAGGTTCAATTCCCGGTCAGGGCATATGCCCAGTTTTGCTGGTTCAATCCCCAGTGTGGGGTGTGCAGGAAGAAGCCTATCAATGTTTTCTCTCTCTCTCCCTCCCTGAAGGGACCTCCCTGAAATTAAAAAATAATTTAAAAAAAAAAAATATATATATACATATATATATCTACACTAATAAAAGAGAAACATGGTAATTGGCGTACGACCGCTACCCTTCCCATTGGCTAATCAGGGCGATATGCAAATTAACTGTCAGCCAAGATGGCGGCCGGCAGCCAGGCAGCTTGAAACTAACATGAGGCTTGCTTGCCTCAGTGACGGAGGAAACCAACGTTCCCCGCCTGCGGCTGCAGGCCTCTGAGCGGGCAGTTTAAGAAACTCTGTAACAAATACCGCAGACTCCAGCCAGCAGATTCGCAACATTGTAAGCAAAGGCCAGAAACCTACTTTCAGCCGAGGCCTAAGAGCTGGAGCCAAGCCTCAAAGCTAAAGCTGGCCCAGAATAAAAAAAAAAAAAGGAAAAAAGGAGCAGTTGGGAGCTTCAGTCACCCGCCAGCCTGAAAACAGCCCTCAGCCCCTCACCCAGACTGGCCAGGCACCCCAGTGGGGACCCCCACCCTGAAGGGTGTGTGACCAGCTGCAAACAGCCATCATCCCCTCACCCAGGCTGTCCAGGCACCCCAGTGGGGACCCCCACCCTGATCCGGGACACCCTTCAGGGTAAACCAGCCGGCCCCCACCCATGCACCAGGCCTCTACCCTATATAGTAAAAGGGTAATATGCCTCCCAGCACCAGGATCAGCGGAGCCATGAGGCCTCCCGGCACCGGGATCAGCATGACAGGGGGCAGCGCCCAAACCCCCTAATCGCCCTGCGGCTCTGTGTGTGACAGGGGGTAGGGTCACAACCTCCCTATCCACCCTGCTCTGTTCGTGACAGGGGAAGGCGCCCCAACCCCCTGATCAGCCCTGCTCTGTGCCTGATAGGGGGGACCTCCCCAACCGCCCCCCCACCCCCCACGGGCCCTGCTCTGTGTGTGACGGGGTAGAGCCATAACCTCCCCATTGGCCCTGCCCTGAGTGTGAGAGAGGTGGCGCCCCAACCCCCTGATGGGCCCTGCTCTGTGTGTGATGGGGGCAGTACCCCAACCCCCTTATTGGCCCTGCTCTGTGCATGACAGGGTACAGAGCCCCAACCCCCCGATTGGCCCTGCTCTGTGCGTGACCGAGGGTGGCGCCGCAACCTCCCCATCAACCCTGCCTTGAGTGTGACAGGGGACGGTGCCCCAACCCCCCAATCGGCCCTACCCTGATCGTGACTGAGGGTGGCATCACAACCTCCCAATCTCCCTGCTCTGTGCATGACTGGGGGTGGCGCCCCAACTCCCCAATTGGCCCTGCTCTGAGCCCGACCAGGGGCTGCACCTAGGGATTGGGCCTGCCCCCTGCCACCCGGGAGCAGGCCTAAGCCAGCAGGTCGTTATCTCCCGAGGGGTCCCAGACTTCGAGAGGCCACAGGCCAGGCTGAGGGACTCCCCCTCCCCCCCGAGTGCACAAATTTTTGTGCACCGGGCCTCTAGTAAATATATATATTCGAAAAAGTATCTTCTGTGTTACTTTCTTATTTAGTAGGATTTCTCTGTGTTATGGGTTGCATGCATAATATATATTTCTTCTTTTTTTATGGTGACTTTGCGCCATACTCGCCCGATTCAACTTTGTATGCTCAGTTCCTTAGCATAGAGCCTGGAATGTAATAGATGCTTGCTACCTTGTGTTTGAGTTTAATTGAATTCATTCTAGACTGGCTTCTCTTTTATAGAGAAGTACCCTCTGAATCTAAAACATTATGGTGTCCTCTCCTTGAATTTGAGAGATAAGAAACTCATTATCTCATAAGGCATTCTTTGAGTTCCTCCACTTAGCCCATGGTTTCTAGTTGCAGAGAGATAATCTCTGCCTACAAGTTCTATTAATAGTTCATTTCTTTGGAACAAAACAGAATGAGTCCACCCCCCCTTTGACTGGACGGCTCTTCGGTTTTTTGAGGACAGCCATCATGTCCCCAACAGTTTTCTCCTTGGCTCAAGTTCAGAATTTCTTTAAGCATTTCTCATAAGATATGATTTTCAGAACTTTTAATAGTATTTATCTTTTTTTTTATTTTCCTCCTCTTCTTCATCATCATCTCATCATTGCTGTCTTTTCTTCGCCATCTTCATCTTCTTCGTCTTTTTCATAGTTCTAGTTTTGAGTATTTTCCCTAAGCCTTGGCTTGTTTTGAGTTTTGACCTGTTTCGTGGTTTGGGTTCATACTTTTTGTGTGTGTGATGTCTTTGGTATGCATTTTCCTCTCATCTTTTTAAAAGGTTTTTAATAATGTGAACCCAACAAGATCCCCATTGATTTTGTAATGCCTTCCACCCTCCCTCTTGTTGCCTGGATATCAGCTTTTGGCTTCTAGCCATGGGATCAATGTGGATTTTAATTCTAACATTTTTGAATCTGCATTTCTGAAGTCTGGGTCTGTGTTCCCTCCCCCTGCCCTCCCGTACTCCCCTTCCCCCCCCCATTTTTCTTTCTGTGCAGGTCTGTGCCCAGGATGACCTGATCATGTTCTCCTGTTTTATTATTCCTGTTTGTTGGGCTTACTTAAGTTCAGGTGTGCAGGTCCCCTTTTAATTTCCTTTTCCTCGCACAAGTGTCTTCAGGGAAAAAAGGAAGTAAACTTGCCAGACGTTTAGCCCTCTAACACTTTCAGTGGCTGTTGGGTTAGTCAGGATCCCTACTGAGGGTTCTCTTTCAGCTGGTTCCCCGGCCAGCTTTGCATATGGTGCTGAGGAGCCCGGGTCTGCCCGCCTCGGCCGTGCAGCCTGGAAGCGTGCTTTCGCACAGTGCTTGTTTCTCTCTCTTGGATGTAATCTCAGTTTTATTTAAGGGACAACCCTGCTGGGTGTAGGTGTCCTGGGAACTATAACACACATAGTGTATGGTCAGGAAATGGTTGTTAAACAAATAAAAACATGCATTTCTAGTGGTAGAGTGATTCGAAGTCTTGATAATTTCATAGAATCTATTTTTAATTTAAAAACTCACTTAAAAAAAAATCCTTACCCACGGATATGTCTAATAGATTTGAGAGAGAGGGGAAAAGGGAGAGAAACATCGATGTGAGAGAGAAGCATCGATTAGCGGCCTCTCACAATCGCCCCAAACAGGGATCAAACTCACAGTCTGGGTATGTGTCCTATTCAGGAGTCGAACCCACAACCTTTCAGTATATGGGATGATGTTCCAACCAACTGAGCCACACCAGCCAGGGCTAAAATCTCACTTTTAGTGGCTGATTAAACACTACAAACTATCGATCCCTTATAAATTCTCACTCATTTATGTGGACTTCTGTACAATGACTTGACATCTGGAATTATATTTTTCTAAGGGCATTTTCAAAAATAACAGTGATTTTTATCTCGAAAAATTGATCTTATGTCTGTATAATAAACAAAGTGGTAATAAAATAAAACTATGAATCCACACAGCTCATTTCAGACCCACAATTAGGCTAATAAGAAAATGCAGAAGTATTTTCAGGACTGATTAAAACAAGCTCTAGACAAATCCTAGTGTACATTTTTTTGTGTGTGGTTTAGAATTTTCTGGAGGTTGTGCTATCACTTTGGGTTACAGTGGAATCAATTGCCCGTTTGTCCTGTTCTCCTCCACTGACACCTCTCCTTGTCTCTGCCGCCGTGAGTACAGAGCCCCGCGAAGAGCAGAGTCTGAGATCTAATAACATTGCGGAGCTGAGTCCAGGAGCCATCAATTCCTGCCGAAGTGAGTACCACGCCGCTTTCAACAGCATGATGATGGAGCGCATGACCACGGACATCAACGCGCTAAAGCGGCAGTATTCTCGGATTAAAAGGAAGCAGCAGCAGCAGGTTCACCAGGTGTACATCAGAGCAGGTAATGGGATTCTTCGAATCCATTTCAACTCTGTGTCAGCCTGTGAGAGGAAGAGCACATGTTCCTGTACTCTCACTGTATGTAGCTCAGCACCCAGAAACTCAGCTGGCACGAGTGATAGCACGCTTAGCATCTCATTTTTTAAAATTTTATTTTATCAGGCTCTCCAGGAGACAAAGACCATGGGTTCTCCTTAGGTCCCAAGGACCGGGCAGTTGATGGTACTGAACACATCTTCGCTGTGTGTGCTTCTGGAGAGGGGTTTACAAACGATCACCATGTTGCAAAGCCGCGCAGTCCTTGGACTTGAGACATTCTGGAGCTGTTGCCTCTGAAATTCCAGGCACTGGAACACAGAACTTAGCGATCTGTGCACGAATAAATCTAGCTATCCATTGGTCACTTAGGGGGTGACATAAAGGGCCCTGTAACCTGAGAAAAAGGAAAAGGCTGTCCCTACGCCTTGCCCATGGGTGACTGTGTCCTGCCTCTGCAGAGAACACAGGTGTAATGCAGTTGGAAATGCTCTTTCCCAAGGATTGTCAGGCTTCTGTTCTTTTTCTGTTTAGTTCCACAAATCCCAGGGAGCAATAATCTGCTTGGTTGTTTAACATATGCTGATTTTGGGATTGGTTTGCTTTGTTCTCGGTGAAATTTGAATGAAAATGATTCCTGTCCATGATTTGACATGTTTTTAAGAGGCTTGTGAGCATGTGACTGATCTTGCCCAAAAACTGAATTTACCTTCTACTTCTTAGGAAGGGTAGGCGATTTCTTGAAGATTCGTACTTTATCCTGAATCATAAATCAATCACAGAAGAAATGAACAGCTGCAGCTCTGCAGTTTTCAAAGCATTGGTACATATGCATCCTCATGTTGTCTTTAAGGATAGTCTAATACAGTGGTTCTAACCTTGGCTGCACATTAGAATCACCTGGGAATCTTTTTAAAATTCTGATTTCTGGGCCTCATCCTCCGGAAATTCTGTTTCTTTGTTGCTAATGTTGTGGCCTCACCCCATAACAAAGAAACAGAATTTCCGGAGGATGAGGCCCAGAAATCAGAATTTTAAAAGATTCCCAGGTGATTCTAATGTGCAGCCAAGGTTGAGAACCACTGGTCTATGAGGAAGGCAAGGAACAGATATTCTCATATACTTTTAGAAGATGAGGAAGTGGTGATTCATGAGGATTTAGCAATCGTATGAGATTATATAGTGATCGTGAGTGGTCCGGACAGGGCTGGAATCCATTTGTTCTAATTCTGTGTATAGTCCTACAACTACTGTATACTAGTAAATCATTGGGTGATATAGTGAACCATCACCATTGTGTGCTGACTCAGCCCAGCGCCTCGTTCTCTAGTCAGGGGTCAGCAAACTATGGTCTGCCGGCCAAACCCTGCTTGCCGCCTGTTTGTGTAAATAAAGTTTTACTGGAATACAGGCATGACCATTGTTTGCATACTGTCTATGACTGATTTTACACTGCCATGACTAAAATATTTATAATCTGGCCCTTTACAGTAAAAGTTTGCCAACCCTTACTCTGGATCATGGTTTATTTGGCTTATTTTAGGGAGAGATTGTTCTAGAGCAGCAGTTCTCAACCTGTGGGTCGCGACCCCTTTGGGGGTCGAACAACCCTTTCATAGGGGTCGCCTAAGACCATCGGAAAACGCATATTGAATATATAAATTACATATTGTTTTTGTGATTAATCACTATGCTTTAATTGTAACAATGAAAATACATCCTGCATATCAGATATTTACGTTACGATTCATAACAGTAGCAAAATTACAGTTATGAAGTAGCAACGAAAATAATTTTATGGTTGGGGGTCACCACAACATGAGGAACTGTATGAAAGGGTCGCGGCATTAGGAAGGTTGAGAACCACTGTTCTAGAGCATTGCTCCTCAAACTCTCCTGTGCATAGGGATCACCTGGGGATCTGTTAAAAGGAAGAGGGTGTTTCAGTAGGTTTGGGTGGGGCTCAGGTTATGCATTTCCAACAAGCTTTTGGTGCCAGTGCTGCTGGGTGGGGCTCACACATGGAGTGGAAGGTTTTAGAGGAGGTGGTGGAGGACAGGATTAGCAGCACCGGTGGAGACTGAACTTGAGCTAGAAACCAAAGACCATAGATTCTGAGACTTAAAGGAAGGAGGGAAGGAAGTTGGTTGGGGTACCAGCCTCCTAGGTTACAGAGGGCAAGAAGTTGAGGTCTCTCAGACCTGAGAGCTTCTGTTTTCATGGAGAATTGGGGGAAAAGTTTTTCTGGGAGTAAGTTGGGGCCTGGGTGGGAGCTTAGGGAATAAGGAAGTCTTGGATAGGTTATTGAAAGGAGTGGGAGAGTAAAAGAAAAAGATTGGTCAGTGGCACTGAGGACCTAACAAGAGAGAGTGTGGATTGTGGATCTGAGGTCGGGGTTTTGCAGGCATGTGGCAGAGGGAGAGGGATGCCTGGGATGTGTGGTTACTGGGGAGGCAGCGGTCCAGATAATGAGCCGTGCAGCTCTCAGAGTAGGGGTGTCCGTGGGCCAAAGATAGACAAGAAGTTAGGAGAGGATTGAGGAGTCAAGGAACCGAAGTGTCTGTCACCAGGTAGAGTTACAGTGGCAGCCTGAGAGCTGGAAGAGAACCCAAGAGAAGACTATTAGAGTTGAGTGTGTTCCATGTCAGGTCGATGTAGGTGACAAGGTTTAGGATGGAACATTTTCTGGATAGAAGACCTCTGAGGTTGAGTCTCAGAGAAAAGCTCCCCCACCCCCAAATCATTAGGCCTCTATTTAGTCACGAGGGATCAGTCTCTGTTCCTTTCTGCGACCTCGGCCCCTTCTCTCCCCCTTTTTAAAGAGGAGGGAATAACCTACCCCCCCCCCCCCCCCCCCCCGCTGGGTTGGAATTCAGTTTCTGCACCTGCAGTCACATGACTCCCAGCGCCTGGGAAGTGCGTGGGAAGGGCTGGAGACTTCTCTGCAGACCTGGTGCCTTGAGGGTATGTCTCACGCCCCCTTCCGATGTTTCTTTCAGACAAAGGGCCAGTGACCAGCCTCCTCCCGTCTCAGGTGAACAACCCTCCAGTTATAAACCACTTGCTCTTAGGAAAGAAGATGAAAATGTCCAACCGAGCCGCCAGGAACGCTGTCATTCACATCCCCGGCCACTCCGGAGGCAAAGCATCCCCCGTCCCCTACGAAGACCTCAGGTCGAAGCTCAACTCTCCGTGGCGAACTCACATCCGAGTCCACAAAAAGACCATGCCGAGGGCCAGGAGCCAGCCGGGCTGCGGGGACACCGTGGGGCTCATCGAAGAGCCGGGCGAGGGCTGCAGGGCCGCGCGCCCGGGGCCCGCGGAGGCGGAGGCGTGCCCTTCGCCTGGAGGCGGCAGCGCGCAAGGCAGCGCAGGGCGCACCATCGAGGGCCAGTCTCCGGAGCCGGCCTTCGGAGATGCCGATGTGTCGATGGTCCAGGTGAAGTTAGAAGCCTTGGAACTGAACCAAAGGGATGCCGCTGCCGACCCTGAGCCCAGGTGGCACCCGCCCCGCCAGCGGCACCTCCCGGAGCTGCCCGAGGCGCCTGGGGAGGACAGAGCCACCGGCAGACCTCCCCACGGGAGCCGCCCCAAGACCCCCATCTTCAGCCCCTTTCCCAGCGTCAAGCCGCTGCGCAAGTCAGCGGCCGCCAGGAACCTGGGGCTGTACGGCCCCACGGAGCGGACCCCGACCGTGCACTTTCCTCACATGAGCCGGGGCTTCAGCAAAGCCGCCGGTGGAAACAGTAGCACGAAGAAGCGGTGACTCCCAGAAACTGCACCCCGAGAGTCACCTTTTTGTGGTGGAGCAGGGGTTCCAGCCACATGGCTCCAGAGGAATTGCAGCTGCCCCGGGAAAGCGTATGGATGGGTCCAGAGGTGGGCCGCATCTGTAAACACAAGGATTGGAGGTTTCACGGTGGGAGCTAGATTAGGGGTGTTTGTCCACCCACTGATAACCGGTACCATGGATTCTTGGTGGCGAAATAAATATTGTGGTTTTAAAATGTAAAGTCTTCCCAATTTTTAATTGTCAGCTGTTTCGGAAAGACGATGTACCCTAGACTCTTAGTCCCTCTTCCTTCTTCCTGTGCTGTGGGGCCTTCAGGGTCCTTTGGGTGTTATTAATGCGCACGCATGCTCCACTAGCTTGGCAAGAACAGGAACTGTAAATAGAAACGAAGTTTCTTAGTTGCAAAAAACTTCCCGATTCCCCGCTTCATGCCCTACTGGGGGGCATGTTTGTATGTGTGAGTTTTCCTTCAGTCGTTTCTTTCAGCCAGTCTCAAATTGCTTTTGATTCTTACGTTAAATTGCAGGAGAAAACTCCAGATAGCCTTTCCCTCCCTTTCTATTTCTAGCTGCAAAGTGAAGGAAACTTACCTGTTGAAATTTAGGTCGATCACTAACTTGAAGATCTTATGCAGAGAACACAAATGGATAGGCACTCAGCAGCTGCTCAGAACAGCTTGCGAATTCCCCTGAGCCTTCCCCAAGGCTCATTTGCTCCTCCATCCTCGGTGGTGGGATGACATGATGGGCTGTCTGGGCAGCTTGCCCACGTCCTCCGCTCTGCAGCTCACTTACCTACCGGCTCTCCACGGCAGGTGCAGTGAGGCTCTGCTCAAAAGCCAGAACATAGCACCTGCAACTCTGTTACTTGAATTTTGTGCTTCTTTTGATTGGAACTTTGAATATTTTGTTACTTGAACACTGCCTTTCTCTGGAGAAGGCCCAGTGCTTTCCAGCTCTCGCTCACCCCTGGTCCCAGCAGGTCAGACACAGACCTGCTAATGCCACTATGCAGATGGGAACTCAGCCACAGAGGGGTGAAGCCCCTCAGCTACTGCAGGTAAATACGGCCCCTCTTCAGCGTGACTTAGCCACATTTCCTCCAGTGCAGGAGGCGGGTTTCATGCTCTTTGTACGCAGATGCACCGGCCACAAAGGTTCCACAGACCACGACTGGGAAGCCATACACTGCACTCCCTCCTGACTCCAAGGGCCTTCCTCCAGGTCTTTACAGTCCTGCGTGGTTTCACAAAACCAGCTCGACCCTTTTCACCCAAACAGATAGTACGTTTTAGTTTTTAAAAACTATATATTTTATTGATTTTTTACAGAGAGGAAAGGAGAGGGATAGAGAGTTAGAAACATCGATGAGAGAGAAACATCGATCAGCTGCCTCCTGCACACCCCCTACTGGGAATGTGCCTGCAACCATGGTACCTGCCCTTGACCGGAATCGAACCTGGGACTCCTCAGTCCACAGGCCGACGCTCTATCCACTGAGCCACACCAGTCAGGGCAGATAGTACATTTTAAAACATGCTACGTGCAGCTGTCATTTGGCTAAACCGAAGGCTCACTCCTCAGTGTCCTCTCAGCATCACGAGAAGAATAGACTCAGCCTCTTACCCTCATTGCTGGAAGACCATGGCCGTGCTTGCAGGCATAGTGCTGAAGCAGCCACTAGTAATCTGGGCTAGTTGGGTCGCTAATTCTGAAACCAAAGCTATAGTTTTAGACAAGGCTTTTACTAGGAGAGGTATACATTTTTATAATAAAATAGAAAATGTAGTTGTGTGGGCTTCTTTAAACAGGAAACACAAGAATGACATATATAGCGAGAAAAAGCCATTTTATCCCCTTTGCGGTATTTTGACTCCCAGATGAATGCAAGATGGAAAACATGACTGATAAGATACTGCAGTTTTGCTTGAATCCTGTGCCGCCTGAAGTTAGCAGGTAGCTTCTTAAAAAGCAGCCAAGCCCACAGCCTGTGTCTTGGGGAGGGGGTAGGTGGAGAGTGGGGCCGACTTTGCAACCCATCCGGGAATGGAGGCCCACTGTGTTTCCCAGAGTGAAGCAAATGACACGATTTTCTTCCACCTGCTAAACTTTACAGAAAAGAATGATTCCACCTCGGATTCTTTTCTCCTCCCCCGCCCCCAATGAGTCAGAGCCACCTCGTTCCCCTTGAGGGATGTCTGACAGCACAGAATCGTTCTTCCCTCTGTGAGTCAGCTCCCAGCAACCTGCGGTGGGGGCCCAGGAAGGCAGTGATGGTGTGGAGCCCCTGGCTGTGGCCCTGAGCATCTCGCCTTGCTGTGGCCCAGCTGTCTCTGTTCCCAGCACACGCCTGCTTCCCAGGGCTGGTCTGAGAAAGGGATGGATGAGAGAGCACATGGTGTGGGATGAGTATTTGTTGAGTGAATGAATAACTGAAAGCGTAATAGTCTTCTGAGGTAAAAAAAAAAAAAAAAAAAAAAAAAAAAAAAATGACCTTGTCAGGATTTAAAACCAACAGATTTCCGTGGAAGCTTTCTCTGTTCTGATACTGTGCATGCATTGTACCGTGTACTCACTTTCAATTATGAATTGGTGAACTTCTAAGCCTTGCCTACTTTAGAATATAAAGAATCTGCAGTAGCCTCAATTGCACAGCATGGACAAAGACCTCCATGGACTTGTTCTCTTCCCGAGGTATTGGACACTCTGCAAGCACCACAAGCACTCACCAGGCAGTGGCTCCTTGGTCCTCAGAGATGCCTGCACCCGTCCGCACGTGCACCGGGAGCCGCTCCTCCTGGCCCTCCACACCTGTCCTCCCAGAGGATCCAAACAAACCTGGTTTGTAATGTCGACCTATGGGCGATAACGGTTTGGAATATTCTGTTCCTTTTTGGTCTCTCTCGCTGTTCTAAAGACTGTCGATTACGAAGATTTGTGCATAAAGATGTTCCGTGTTGTGGCTGGGGTGCTGTTTTCTGTCTGCGAGTGCACAGAGCGCTGCTGTGAGGTCCCCCACATTGGTCACGTGAACCAGGGGAACAGCCCAATAAGCTCCGTCCCCCCAGTCTAATCTGTGGGGCTGCATGGTGGCCGCGGCCTGCTGAGACCCTGGCAGAATGGAGAGTGTAGGGGTTCGCGGCACAGGAGACAAAGTCAGAGTTAAAAAGTCAGGCAAATCAAAGGTGGTACTTTAATCTGCACTCCCGGGCGAGCTACACGGGCCCCAAAGAGCGGGGCCAGTGAAATCTCGCCGAGAGGGAGTAGAGGCATTTTTTTATACAGCTGTTCAGTGAGGGCAGGGGGCATGAGCTGTGGGAGTTCCCACCGTGGGCAGGCCCATCATGGGTTCCAGGAAGGAGTCTCTGTTGCCATCTGTCTGGCACGCTGACCTGTTAGGAATTCCAGGAAGGGCCCAGTATCTGCGCCACCATCTACCAGGTCCGCTGTCCTGTTAGGAATTCCAGGAAGGGCCCAGTATCTGCGCCACCATCTACCAGGTCCGCTGACCTGTTAGGAATTCCAGGAAGGGCCCAGTATCTGCGCCACCATCTACCAGGTCCGCTGACCTGTTAGGAATTCCAGGGAGGGCCCAGTATCTGCGCCACCATCTACCAGGTCCGCTGTCCTGTTAGGAATTCCAGGGAGGGCCCAGTATCTGCGCCACCATCTACCAGGTCCGCTGTCCTGTTAGGAATTCCAGGGAGGGCCCAGTATCTGCGCCACCATCTACCAGGTCCGCTGTCCTGTTAGGAATTCCAGGGAGGGCCCAGTATCTGCGCCACCATCTACCAGGTCCGCTGTCTTGTTAGGAATTCCAGGGAGGGCCCAGTATCTGCGCCACCATCTACCAGGTCCGCTGACCTGTTAGGAATTCCAGGGAGGGCCCAGTATCTGCGCCACCATCTACCAGGTCCGCTGACCTGTTAGGAATTCCAGGGAGGGCCCAGTATCTGCGCCACCATCTACCAGGTCCGCTGTCCTGTTAGGAATTCCAGGGAGGGCCCAGTATCTGCGCCACCATCTACCAGGTCCGCTGACCTGTTAGGAATTCCAGGAAGGGCCCAGTATCTGCGCCACCATCTACCAGGTCCGCTGTCCTGTTAGGAATTCCAGGGAGGGCCCAGTATCTGCGCCACCATCTACCAGGTCCGCTGACCTGTTAGGAATTCCAGGGAGGGCCCAGTATCTGCGCCACCATCTACCAGGTCCGCTGACCTGTTAGGAATTCCAGGGAGGGCCCAGTATCTGCGCCACCATCTACCAGGTCCGCTGACCTGTTAGGAATTCCAGGGAGGGCCCAGTATCTGCGCCACCATCTACCAGGTCCGCTGACCTGTTAGGAATTCCAGGGAGGGCCCAGTATCTGCGCCACCATCTACCAGGTCCGCTGACCTGTTAGGAATTCCAGGGAGGGCCCAGTATCTGCGCCACCATCTACCAGGTCCGCTGGCCTGTTAGGAATTCCAGGGAGGGCCCAGTATCTGCGCCACCATCTACCAGGTCCGCTGGCCTGTTAGGAATTCCAGGGAGGGCCCAGTATCTGCGCCACCATCTACCAGGTCCGCTGTCCTGTTAGGAATTCCAGGGAGGGCCCAGTATCTGCGCCACCATCTAACAGGTCAGCGGACCTGGTAGGAATTCCAGGGAGGGCCCAGTATCTGCGCCACCATCTACCAGGTCCGCTGTCCTGTTAGGAATTCCAGGGAGGGCCCAGTATCTGCGCCACCATCTGCCAGGTCCGCTGGCCTGTTAGGAATTCCAGGGAGGGCCCAGTATCTGCGCCACCATCTACCAGGTCCGCTGGCCTGTTAGGAATTCCAGGGAGGGCCCAGTATCTGCGCCACCATCTACCAGGTCCGCTGTCCTGTTAGGAATTCCAGGGAGGGCCCAGTATCTGCGCCACCATCTGCCAGGTCCACTGGCCTGTTAGGAATTCCAGGGAGGGCCCAGTATCTGCGCCACCATCTACCAGGTCCGCTGGCCTGTTAGGAATTCCAGGGAGGGCCCAGTATCTGCGCCACCATCTACCAGGTCCGCTGGCCTGTTAGGAATTCCAGGGAGGGCCCAGTATCTGCGCCACCATCTACCAGGTCCGCTGGCCTGTTAGGAATTCCAGGGAGGGCCCAGTATCTGCGCCACCATCTACCAGGTCCGCTGGCCTGTTAGGAATTCCAGGGAGGGCCCAGTATCTGCGCCACCATCTACCAGGTCCGCTGTC